AGTTCCCTTTTCAAGTTCCATGGTTTACCATGGAACTGTACTTGAGCTTAAAAGGTGGGAACTTCAACAGTAAAGGGGAGTTCTCAAATTATCTTCCACTTGTTATCAAACACATAACATGAGCAGTCATAGGTAAAGTTCCTTCTTCCTCTTCTAACTTCATGTTATCAAACACGCCCAAAGAGCAGCCATCAAAGTTTAACTTGATGCTGCCTTCAGGTGGAGGCTTCCAGTTGCTTGCTCTTGAGGGTTTTGGGGGCTTGTGGATGATGGCATTTTTCCAGCGGCAGAGAAGGGTGTTCTTAGAAAGGCCAGAGAAAGTCTTGTGATTGGAAGCCCAAAAGGTCGTTAGCGAGACCACCTTGTGGAATAGAGCTTGTACGGTAAGGTGGGCATTGTTGAAGATACGGTTGTTCCTTTCAAGCCATAAGGTCCAAATGGTTGTGGCCACTGCGGCCTTTCAGAGGGTTTTTCCAGCCAGAGGCCACTGGGCCTTGAAGTTAAAGGAGATCAAGGCTCGGACCGTGGGTGGCGAGACCCATTGGATACCAAATAATTGAAGCAAGAGTGACCAGAGATTATGCGAGAAAACGCAATAAATGAAAATGTGAGGGTTGGATTCCTCCTCACAAAGATAGAGGGCGCATCTATTGGGTGTAGAGAGACCATGTTTTTTTAGTCGGTCGATTGTGAGGGCTCTCTGAGAGCGTGCGATCCAATTGAAAAACTGAATTTTAGGTGGGGAAATGGTGGACCATACTCTTGACGAGGTAGAAGTGGGGTTAAGGGGAAAGGTTGGGGATTGGGTAAGATTCGTGTAGAAAGAGGTTACGGTAAAAAGACCAGAGGGGGAAAGGCACTAGACAAGACTATCACTCCCAGAAAGCAGGAGGAAGTGGGAAGAAAGGACACCCAGAAGTTGTTGAAGAAGCGAGCTTTCTTCTTCCGAGAGGTTTCTACCAAAGGAGGGAGTCCAGGTTCTCCATCCCCCTGAGAGAGGCAATTCGTTGGTGACTGAAGAGTTAGTTATGGAAGTGAGAGAGAAAAGGGTGGGGAAGGCCTTGCTCAAAGGGGAGCAACTGAGCCAGAGATCAGTCCAGAAGTTGACCCTACGGCTTTCTCGGGCATGGAATCTAAGGTGCCTTCTAAACTGAGGCAGAGAAGAGGCTAAAGACAGCCACACTCCTGAAGCCCTGTGTCTCTGTATTCTCTCTGGCACCCACGTATCATCTTGAATTCGGTATTTGCTGCGTAGCACCTGGGCCCAAAGGGAATCTGGTTGAGTGGCTAGCTGCCACCATCATTTGCCTAAGAGGGCAGTGTTTTGATTTCTGAGGGTCCGAATGCCAAGACCCCTTGCTTTCTAGGTAGGCAAACAATGTCCCAGGCAACTAGGTGAGACCTGATCTTCTTTGCCTGTCCCGACCAGAAAAAATTATGCATAAGTTGTTCTATGCGGTTAGACACGTGTACTGGCATATGAAACAGGGACAAGAAGTAGACTGGAATGTATGCCATAGTCGCTTTGATGAGTGTAATTCTTCATGCAGGAGAGAGGTATCGACCTTTCCAAGTTGCCAGGCGTCTCTCTACCTTATCTAAGACTCGAGACCAGAGTCTCTTTTTGGGTTTCCCCAATCCCAGAGGGAGGCCCAGGTAAGTGGAAGGAAGGTCTTCCACTGAACATTCTCGGAGATGAGCGCAACAACTTTTGTTTTTTGGCGTGGCTACCCCCATCATTTTAGATTTCAGCATGTTAACCTTGAACCACGTAGTTTTTTGAAAGTATAGGAGGAAGAGTTTGATTGTGTCGAGTTCTTCTCGGGAGGTGTCGAGGAAGACGAGGGTATCATCTGCGTATTGCAGGTGTGATACCATGGGGCCTTGTGGAGTGGTAGAGAAGCCTGAGAGGAGACCAGACTGGTAAAGGCGTGGGAGGGATCTAGTTGCAATGGCGAAGAGGAATGGGGAGAGAGGGTCCCCTTGTCAGAGTCCCTTGTTGGCAGGGAAGAATCCTTTTAGAGACCCATTTATGAGGATGGACAGATAGGGATGAGAGTAACAACCTCTCATCCAATTCCTCCATCGATTACTGAAACCCATTCTCCCCATGGTTTTGTCCAAGATGGACCAGTCAACGTGGTCGTAAGCTTTTTCCCAGTCAATTTTGAAAATGAGTCCCGGTTTCTTGGCTAAGTGTCTGGAGGGAAGGCACTCGTTGGCTACCCCATCCTAATCTATCTGTTTTGAATGAAGGCGGATTGAGAGGGAGAGATAACAGTGGGGAGGACAAGCCTGAGTCTAGAGGCTAGGACCTTTGCAAGGATTTTGTGAGAAGACTTTAGAAGGCTGATAGGGCGAAAATCCTTGATCTCCTCTGCCCCTTGTACTTTGGGAACTAGGGCAATAAAGGTGGTGTTAAGAGCTTTATGGATGATCCCTCTATGGAAAAATTCTTCGAAAAGTGCTCCAGAAAGTTTGGAAGGGTGCAATCGGAAAGCCGTCAGGTCCAAGGGCTTTGTCACTGGCAAGGGCTTTAATAGCTAGTAAGATTTCGGCTTTGGAGAAAGGAAGTTCTAAAGAGGCAGCTAAATCATTTGAGAGAGGCAGGAAATCAAGGTCGGCCATTCTAAGCCTGGGGCCAGCCAGGGCAGAGTATAAGGTTTGGAAAAAAAACTAGAATGGCTTGCTCGATTTGTGCTGGTTGGTCCAGAAGACGGTTGTTAACTTTGAGAGTCAGAACAGAGTTGTCCCTTCCGTGACAGTTGGCAATGCGGTGGAAGAAAGCAGTGTTGGAGTCTCTGACTTTTAACCACTTGATTCGGGATCTCTGGTGCCAAAAGATCTCTTCTTTTTTGAGGGTAGCCAGGTAGTCTAGTTTGGTTTGAGCTCTGAGGTCAAGTTCCGAGGAATCTAAGGCTCTTGTTTCTTCAATGAGGTCAAGGCTCTGGATAGAGTCCAAGAGGAGAGATTTGGTTTTGGAGTAATTGCCGGGGAGGCTTTGCTCCAGGTTTTGAGGGAATTTTTTAGGAGCTGGATATTGGTTTGTAGCCTGTACCATGCTCTTCCCCTAACGTGAGGTGAGAAGGAGGTCCACCAGTTAGGTAATAAAGAAACAAGGGACGTCTCTTGCAACCAAGCCAGTGCAAACCGGAATCACAATAGGCCCTTTTACCCGTACTTTTGGGTGCCATAAAGAAAAAAGAAGCAATCCCTCATATGAATAAAGGAAATTTCCCTGTTGTTTATCCAATATTTAATCTGATTTAATTTCTGGTTTAACTTTGTTTCCCAAATTTTTGTTGCTGAACTCAATACTCCTTTTAATTTTTGTTTCTTGAGTCTTGACACCTCGGAGACCGACTGGTAATTTGTGTAGCTCATAGAAAAGTAAACCTGAGTTCCAATTTTGCACTCTGGGCCAAATCTAAGGTGATAAATGATATTTGCTCTCCATTTTCATCACATGGATCTGCAGTTCCTCTCTCTCTCTTTCTCTTCCCCCCCCCCAGCATTTGGCCTTGTCATGCCCGCTTGTATGGATTTTGTGACCTGAAATGTTTCCTACTTTGCAACAGTGGAGTGGATGATCTTAATTCCACTCACTAGAGTACTTAATATTGGAGTGATGAGTAGGCTGATGCCCCATCATTATAATGCCTATTGGTGGGTTACAGTGACTATAGAACCCAATGTTTGTGTCTGATGGTGGTGTATATTCCCACTGTCACACATAGCCGGCTGAAGTTGTGCTATCCTGTTGTGGACTTGAATTATTGAAAATTTTCAATCATCCTGATTACTGATCAGCAAGCATTCATGTCCAAGGAAATAGTTGCCTTCCTCTTGTAACTCCATTCCATCTGCCACTATTATTTCAGGTGGAAAAATTTGCTGCTTATGTCTTGCTTCTACTTATCCAAAAAAACAAAAAAAAAAAGAAAGAAGAACAAGTAATGCTTCCTACATCAGGCTATGTGCTGTAAAATACTTTAAACTTTAAGCGACTCTTTTAGCTGGTCCATAGTGTCTGTGTCATGGCATGTAAGTCATTTGCTCAAAAGAAGTGTTGATTTTTGTATTACTTCTCTGTGCTTACATTTCTTACAATCACTACTTTTGTAACCAATTCTTACTTCACAGAGGATTGCTAACGTAACTTGTAGATTACTATCTCATAGCTGTAACTGATGTATTTTTCAGTTTTATAAATTTCCCTATGTAACAAAAATATGTAGCCATAGGATCACACGGCACGACTCCCTCTACAATACTCCATCTAGATAGAGAGTTTTGGGTGAGAGTCATGTGGAGGTAACTAGATGACAAGCTAAGTTTTGGACAATTGAGTTTGGGGTTCGCTTCTTCACGTGTTTACTATGTATTCTCTTTCTTTTATGTATGCTTTGGACTTTTCCTGTCAATGTAGTGCATTTTCTTGCATTCCTGAGCTTTGTAATGGTTTACTAGTCTTACTCAAAGATTTATATGTTCTGTATCCTTCATTTTGGACTCATATCCTTCATTTTGGACTCAACTCTGTTGCATAACAGGAAAATCCGTTGGATCCTTTAATGGAAAGTGTTCTGGGAGCATAAAATCTATAGCAAGGCATCCTGAGCTACCTGTTCTTACATCTTGTGGTGAGTGCCATCATTTCATTAGGAGGGTGTGTGTGTGTGTGTGTGGTGTGTGTGTATGTGTGAGGTGGGTGTGTGTGTGTATGCGCGTACTTGTATGCATGCATCCATGTACATGTGTTTTCGTGCTTCAATTTTTTCTGCTACTTGTACAATTCATAATTTTCTGCCTGGTATGCTCTATGCATTTGTTTGTTTGAAATTCCAAATGCTTGAATGACTTTTGACACTCCTGGAGGTTTGCCCTAACTGGGTTGCAATCTTTAAGCGCAGTGTGTTGCTGTTGCTTGTGATGGAGGAATGGTCTTGCTGGTTTTAATTAGAAAGGTCATTATTATTTGAGCTTGAATTTGGTTGAGTGGCATCCATAAGTAGTTATGCATGTACTGTGAGATGCTGAAAGTCTAGACACATGGATAAACGGACACATGGGCCTACAGTCATGGACTTATTTTATATACTTCTTTGATTATTCTCATGATGTGTTTACTGGGGCGTCGTTTATGCCTAAAGGAATCCTTACTCAAAATTTCTGACAGAAGATCAGAAAGAAGGGGGTTTTGTAGAACTTAGTTTTGGTGCTCTTAATCTTTGGAAGAAGTCAAAAAATTTCATTGAGAACAATATGAAGACCATTATATTTATATACAAATGCATTAGGGTCATATGGTGCATAGTTCTGTTCCAAAAAATAATGGGATGAAAAGGTTGAGAAACATACATAACTTTTAAACTACCCTGATACTAACAATATACAAATGTAGCTCTATCTTTTTCCATATAGTTATAGTACACAAGTACATTCTCGTGATGCATATTTTAATGGTGATGTATGCATTTTATATCCAAGTTTAGTCGAGCTTTTAACGAAATAAGGTGGGATGTATTCTCGTAAAAATGCTGTTCGTGGAGGTTCCAACCACAGTTGGCTTTGTATGAGGTCTCTCATCGTGCCAAGCAGACTGTAAACAAGGAAATTACACGGTGAGTTTGAAGAGCAGGTGTTCAAGACGCATAATGGTTTATTTTATGAAATCTTGAGAAATGAATGATACTGTAGTTACTTTTAGTACAAAGCCCTCAATTGTCTTACCATGTAGGATTGCAAGTGGAGGACTAAATTCCACAGAGCAAAAATTCGTCAAGTTGCAAGAATAAAGGTTCTCAATTAATTCAACAAACAAAATGGGAAAATTGGAGTTGAATGTTCAACGGTTGGCGGACCATTTTATTTCGTTTTCCAGAGGAATCAGATGTTCTAATATTGTAACATATGATGCAAAGAGAGCCATGGTTTTCTCTCTCCTCATTCTGCTGGAGAGGCCACCCTGAGAGGAAAGTATGGTGCCAATGATGAGGCAAAGGGCTAAGCACTTCAGTAAAGATCAGAATAACATTCATATCCACAAAGAGCTTTGGCTGCTGTGCATTGGCTCTGACATTAGCATCATCAATATCCCCAGCTGCTATACAAGCAGAGGGATCAGTAATGTCATAAGCAGGACCAGAGGAGAGATGAGCATATCCACCAAATAAATAGTAGGGCCTTGCCTTAGGGTTTAATACCTGCACTTAAAACGTTTTATTTGCTTGGACGGAGGGAGGGAGCTGAACACTGCCATACTTGCCACTCTAATTAGCATTCATGTTGGCTAATGTTAATATTCCATGAATCTTTTTATTTGTTAGTTTTTTGGCAAAATCTAAACCGAGGATATGTCTATTCCTCAGAGTGATAGGACAAGAAATCGAAGGCAGAAACACTTTCATGAGGATTTTATCACATGTTTTATGTCTCTGCATCTCTGGTTCTTATAGTTTGGGCTGTTTATTTCCCCATGTTCTCTAATTCGTCTTGTGCATAGCGATTTATTATTTTGTTGTCAAAATAGGTAGAAAGTGATGTGCATGTGTTTTTTTGTTGATTGTTACACGTGGATTGGTATATGTTTAGCCAGTTTCACAGCTCATGGACAATTTGGTGATCATGTCTGATTTGGTGCATGTGCATTGCACTTGTCAAAGTTCCTAACTTCTGTTACATATCAATTTCATTTTGCATACCTTCCTTCCATTTTTATTTCAAAGTTATAAGTTTCAAATTTGAAATATGTTCTCCAAGAATACTGCAGAACATATTTTGGAATTTTCTATCTTAACTGATTCAAGATATTCTTATCTTTAGGATTGGATGGCTATATGCGTTTTTGGGATGTGAAGACTAGGCAACTTCTTTCTGCGGTGCGTGAAAATTATCTAGGGATCACATTTATCTGGATATGACAAGCTATTCTCTTAGCAAGTTCATGGCTATGCTGTAAAATGCTTTCATGAACTCTTGGAGTTATTTTCTTTCGTAGTTATTTCTCCTTGATATCTTGTTTCATTATAATCAAACATCTACCATATTGAGGTTCTCTTTTGTTCTCTCCATTCTCTCTTTGTGGTGCATATCTATGTGACATGTGCTTGTGTACATGTGTTGGGAATAAGCCTTTTTGCTTACTGTTTTTAACATCATGTCCCCGACTTTGGTTATAATATTTAAGCTAGTTACCTGCTTTGAGCATGCAAAAACTTAAAAAGGAGTGAGGGTATGACACAGTTTCTTATAGTTCATTCTTTGTTGCTAGTTTGTTCACTTTACCTCACTTTTGTTGTTTAAACCACCCAAATCCCCCTGTATATATGAAGTAGTTGCCAACTTAGGGCCAGTGCATCGATCTTTTTCCATGGATGATTGCTCCGTTTTGTGATGAATCTTCTGGCCAGTTGAGGGAAAAGATATTAAAGGAAGGCCTTCTTCATGGCGGCTGATCCTTCTTCAGAAAATATCCCTGGGCTTGCAAAATTTTGTGGGAGTTACTGCAGAAAATGCAAAATAATATAATAAATATATGAAAAATTTAACTTCATTATAGTTATTTCTGATTATTTTTTCCATGAAATGGATCATTTAGTATCTCAAAAGGTTGTTTAGAGAAGAGCAGAAATCTATGCAACTCCAGCATGTACATCTTTATTTCCTGGGAGTAGTTCCCGAGCACCGAGTTTGAATTCTAAGTTTCTAACGGATAATTGTTGGACATTGATTTGCTTTGTGGAAAGTTACTTGTGAAGCATGACATAAAGGGAAAATATCATATAAACCCTTCCAAAGTCCAACATTTCATGCAAAACCTCTCCTTCATTGTTTCAAGTGGGCATATTTCTTTTCATTACACCTTCAACTACCCGCTTTGATACAACTCCCCTCCCCGCCTTTTTTTTCCTCCAAATAAGAACTTCACAACTACCTTTTTCTCGAGAAGTCCTAAGCTGAAAGTACCCTTGAATCTGGCCTGAAAATCAATTTTTCAGCAGAATATACTTGGGCTCCTCAGATTGGCTGGAACCTCGCCAGAATGTAAAGATTCAAGTGAACTTGGCTGGAATCTCTGAGCCAAACAAAGGCGAGAAATGAGAGGCTGCCTTTTACACCTATAGAAAGACGTATCTCCACTGACAGCATTGTTCTTGAGTTCCTTGACTTGCTTTTTTGTCATGTTCTCTTATGTTTTGGTAACTGCAAAAATGTAAGAGTGAAACGGAAGAGGACATTCACACAAAAATTTAGTTCTATAATTTGGGTTTTTTAAGTTTCTTCTTCCTGTGTCTTTTATTCCTTAAACAACCAAAACTACAAAGAGAGAAATTCAAGCAAAAACATGTTCCCTTGACTTTGTTTCTCTTAAACAGTTTCTTATATAACTTTCCTTTTAGTTCCCTATCTAGAGAGAGAAAGAGATAGAGTGAACCATTCTTAGTGCCCCTGTTGTCTCTCTAGAATATTCCCCCTTTGGTGTTTCTCATGCTTTTCCCCTTTCTTATTGGCTTGTCTTTTTGTTTTTATCACTAGAAATTGCCCCCTATTTGTTTCTCCATCTTGGTTCTGCCTCTCTTGCCCCATTTTGTCTATCTAGAATTTTTATCACTTATGTTTTTATTTCTTTAGATTTACCTCTTTCCTGATTGGTCTTTTTATTTCTCTCTAGAATTGCCTCCCTTCTCTCTCTTTATCACCTGTCTCTCAAGTCTCAACAGGCTGCCTTTTATGTTTGTTTGGAAGTGCCCTTTGTTGGCTGTTTGTTTTGTTTTTCTCTCGAATCTTTTTTTTCCCCTGAGAAAGGGTAATGATAAGAATATTTGTATTGTTTGTTTACAAAAAACTCATAAGGCAACCCACATGATGGGTGCTCATGATCATAGTTGCTTGGAGCGGGGGCAAGAGCAGGAGTGATGGATTGATGCATGAAGCTCCCTAGGCCATGCCCGCATTCTTTACAAACTTGTAATTAACAAGTAATTTTTTAAATCTAATAAAGTAATAATCCCACAAATCTTCATAATAAAAAAAAGTAATCCCACAAATTTCAATAAAAATATGAGCACACAATAATAAAGAATAATTATTTATTAATTAAATAAAATTAAGTAATAAATAATTATTTTCATTTGAAATGTAGTTTATGGAAGAATAATCTCATAAAATAGAATAAAATTATTATGATGAGGCATGTTGGGATAACTGATAACAGTACAAGGGAAGTGATTTTTTTATTGAAAAAAATCTGCTTTATTTACAAGTTCACCCTTCACAACATCCAAAAGCTAACCAAATGGTTTATTTGCAGTTTTACACTTTGCAACATCCAAACACATGAGAGAGAGAGAGCAGGTAAGATCTAAATGAATCATCTTCTTAGCCCCTTGTTACCTGTTCGAGCGGATCCCATGGAGGTCCCTATGGTGTCAAAAGGTCTGGGGCAGGTTGTAGGCAGCCCACATCTAGAGAGAGAGCCCTAGAGAAAGATGTAAGTGAAGCAGAGGATTGGCAAAGATATTGGGAGAGAGAGAGAGAGAGAGAGAGAGAGAGAGAGAGAGAGAGAGAGCATGT